CATTCATTCCATTCATTCCATTCATTCATTCCATGCATTCCATGCATTCCATTCATTTCATTCATTCATTCATTCAATCATTCATTCATTCATTCATTCATTCCATGTCATTTCATTTCGTTCAATTCAACTCAACTCAATTCAATTCAGTTCATTCATTCATAACATTTATTTCAATCAATGCATTCATTTTATGCGTTTGATTCGTGTCATTTGTTTCATTCATTTCCTTCATTTCATTCATTTCATTAAGTCGTGTCCTTCCTGTAAATTTCCTTCATGCATTTATGCCTTTATGCCTTCCTGCGTTTCTTCCTTCCTTTCCTCATTCATCTCCTTCATTCATGTCATTTCCTTTCCTTTAATTTCATTTCATTTCCTTTCATTTCTTTCCATTTCATTTCATTTCATTTCCTTTCATTTCTTTCCATTTCATTTCATTTCATTATCTTCGTTCATTTCATATTTTCCATTTTCCGCGTTCCATGTTCCATTTTCCATTGTCCATTTCCATGTTCATTTCATTTCATTTGATTCATTTCATTTCATTCATGTTTTTTTGTCATTCCTTGCATTCTATTCATTCATTTCATTCATTAAATTCCTGTCGTTCCTTTCATTCCTTCATTCCTTTCCTTCCTTTCATCCCTTCCTTTCCTTCCTTTTCTTCCTTTCCTTCTTTTCCTACCTTTCTTTTTCTTTCATTTCATTTCGTTTCATTTCGTTGCAGTTCGTTTTATTTCAACTCATTCATTTCATTCATTTCGTTCATTTCATTTGTTTTCTCTCATTTCACTTGTTTAATTCGTTCCACAATTGTCCGTTTCATTCATTCCATTTTTCAGTTCAATTCAAAGTCAGTCATATTCTGTTCAGCTCAATTCCAATTCAATTCAACTCAATTCAGTTCAATTCAGTGCAAAACATGCATTAATTCACTATTTTTTTCACGAACTCCCTTGTTCATTGATTCACTCATTCATTCATTGATTCAGTACTTCGTTGATTCATTTGATTGCTTCATTCATGCGTTCATTCATTTAATGACTCACTTGTTCACTGGTTCCCTTAGTCGCTGTTTTCTCTCATTGATTCGCTCATTGACTCACTCATTCTTGAGTTCCTGAATTGATACGTTGAATCATGATACTCGTTCAGAAATTTAGTCGTGGATTGATTTTTTCACAAGTTCACCTCCTTCATTGATTTACTCATTCCTTCACTTATTGATTGGTTCCCTCGTTCACTGATTCGTTCATGGATTCACTCGTTGACTCATTCATTCATTGATTTGTTTGATTCGCGCACCGGTTCTTTCATGTCATTGATTTCATCATTGGCATCTTAACAACCAACTGCTCATTCGCTGATGCACATCACAACCTCAATCTCTCGTTTCTTTTCAATCCCAAACGCATTCCTATAGGCCATTGTAGCCATGGTTCTTTTTCGAAAAGTCCGCACTGGCACGGCCGGGCACTATCTGGCATGGCTAAAATTCAGTTATGGCATAGTAAATGTATGTAAATGTGGTAAGTACTTTTATCCATGCATGGCATCCCCCATTGGACGATGCTGTTTCAAACCAAGACTCTTCCATTGCTCTCATCGCAAGACTCGTTGTCGACGTCTTCTTCTTTTTCGTCATTTCCAAGCGTGGCATCGGGACGGTCTCCGTCCCGGTCTCGGTCACTGTCTCGCTCCAAGCGATTCAACTCTTCTTGCAGTTGCCGAAGCCCAAGAGAGTGTTTCCTGGCAGGGCATCCCAGATAGCTTCGCTACTACATGTTCAAACGCATCACAGTTCAAGGTCCATGATGCCACCATTATCATCGTTTAATTTTTTTCAAGGGTCAGCGATTACTTTGCAAATTCGCAACCAGATTCGAATGATGGAAGGGAAAAAATTATAGTGATGCGCGCCGATTGGTATGAAACACGAACACCTCGACGGCAAACGGCTTTCCTGCCTCCTGTTACCACCATCTGAATCTTGCAGGGCAGCCAATGCAGCCCTCACTTTTTCCTCCCAAAATTAAATTCAATTGCATCAGCGGGCTGGTTTAAGATGCAAATCCGATATTCAACCAATGCACCCGAAGACCACAACATCATTCTGAACCCTGGCTTCAAAATCTGCAGGCTAAAGTGGTCTACAGTTCTTGAAGGTAACAGGATCACTTTGGAACACAGTCCTAAACATCACTTGGGAACACAACCATTTTTGATAGCTTTGGAACACAAAATGATACACCTTGTCTTCCCACAGCCGACACACAAAACATCGAATTTATTGACAGGCGCAGCAGTTTGGAAGCCTCGCGCGTTCCAAAGCGATCCCTCTACCAAAAAAAGGCGCCAATCCCAGATTTTGTCCTTACATCATCAGCCGTCATCCCTATTGCTACTCTTTGACCTTGGAATTCACTGTGCTGTTCATTGGGGGGAACTCCTAGTTACATCAGCATTTCAATTTTTTTTCGAAGGTTAGAACTTAAAACAAACGACTCAGCCCACGCTAAGGGTTCTTACTTCTCTCTTGCTTTGGCCATCCTTATGCTCACAGCAGCCATTTAAGGTTTATTTGGGGGGGAGGGGTGAAATTCACAACCAGCCATTTAGAGTTTATGGGGGGCAGGGGGTTCAGAACTAGCCATTTGGGGTTTATTGGGGGGAAACATTCTTCAGTTTTTTTTCCCGGGCCTTTACTCCTCTCTTGCCTTGGCCATCCGTATGCTCACACCAGCCATTTAGGGTTTATTGGGAGGGGGGACTTCTACTTACATCATCATGTCAGTTTTCTTTCGAAGGTTAGAAGTTAGAACAAACGACTCAGCCCACGCTAAGGGTTCTTCCTTCTCTCTTGCCTTGGCCATCCTTATGCTCACAGAAGCCATTTAAGGTTTATTCGGGTGCGGGGGGTGAGATTCACAACCAGCACAGCAAAAACCTGAACTCCCCCAACCTTCCCGGTAGTTCATGATGATGATGATGGTGATGATGATGATGATGATGATGATGACCATGGTGATGATGTGATACATATGTGGTTGTTGGTAGCGATGGTGACCATGATGATAATGATCATGATGACTATGATGACTATGATGATTTTGATGATTATGATGATGATGATTATGATGATTATGATGATTAAAAATTCAAGAAAATCATGATGATCAGGATCATGATGATGATTGCGTTGATGAAGATGAAATCATACGTGTGTGATTGTTGATGATGATGATGATCATCATCATGATGATCACGCCCATGATGACCATGATGATTGACATGATCAAGGAAAAAACATCATGATGATCAGGATCCTTATGATGGTTGTGATGATGCTGACGATGCTGATGATGCTGATGATAATGATGATGATGCTGATGATTCTGATGATGCTGATGATGCTGATGATGCTGATGATGCTGATGGTGCTGATGTTGGTGGCAACGAAGAATGATGGTTTTGATGATGATGATGATGATGATGATGATGATAATGATGATGATGATGAAGAAGAAAATGAAGATAGTCATGATGATCAGGACCATGATGATGACCATGATGATGATGATGATGATGATGATGATTAAGATGATGATGTCATAGATATGTGGTCGGTGATGGTGATGATTATCATGATGAAGGCGGGTTCCGTTCCAAAGCGATGTTTTTTTTCCACACACTCTTTTCTGCCGAGTCGCACGCTGGTCCCCCAAAAATATTAAGGGTCGGAAAACGGTTTTTATACTGGCCCGTCACCAGATATGCACAGTCCACGAAAAGTCCAGAAATCAATCTCACCGCCCGGGAAGTCGACTGGGCATGGTGGAGTCAGGGAGCGGCTCGGTGAGAAGTTGGCCAAGGGGGGGCAGGGCCCCTTCACCATTGGTGGCGCCATCTGTTGGGATGGAGAGCAGCGACGATGCGAAAGCTTGCATGCCAGCATGGGTCAGAATGGCCGACCACCGGGAAATGAGGGCTGTGACAGTTGCTTGTCGCAGGTGCTGGGGGGTTGACTGTGCTTTGGTTCGTGCCAACAGTCGGAGGAACTGTGCTGCCTCCGCGCTCCATCTCCCACCTACTTCCATCGCCAGGACCACAAGTCGGCACCGTCCCGACCCCACCAATTCGGGGTAGGTGCGTTCTTTTGTTTGGCGTGCAGCGTGCAAGGCTGTCCCTGCGAACCTGCCCCCTCTCCGCCGTGGTTCGGCTGCACTTGTGAGGGGGGAGACTAGGGTTGTGTCCACCGCCAATTGGGAACCCTGCCATAGGGGGAGGCCGTTCGCGATGACTTCGATCGCCCGGTCGTCCATGTGGTTGACGGCTGGGATGTTGAGCTGGTTCAGGCGGGTGTGCATTGTGACACGGGCTCCAGCTTCCCGACAAACCCTTGCGGCTGCATGTTCCAATGGCACCCCCCTGCTTCTGAGGACTCCAGCCCGAGAGCATGCTGCACGGTGGTCGCCTAAAGGGTCAAGAATGCGACGGCACCGGCAGGTACGCTCGGTCAAGGGTAGTGGAAGCCTAAGGCGACGGAGCATGAGGACCCGGAAGACTTGGTCTGGGTATGTGACCTCTGCAGTGTATGGGATGGTGGTGAAAGTTCTGCTGGCGAATGGACCGGATTGTGAATCCAGGATGGCTTGGCTGGCTGGGTCGAGTGTGGAATAAAGGTCTTGACGTGCTGCGGTGTTGACTGGGGCTGCCGCGTGTTGTTGCCAGCCGGGTTGGGTCGGCCCTGCGAACAATTCTTCGTTGGCGGGCGGTGGCTGCTGGGCAAGAAGTTGTCGCCAGCTGGGGGGTTCCCATCCCTGTTCCTGGATTGACTGGCGCGCTGCTTGTGCTGCCTGGATGTGGGCGGGTGCTGTGGCAGGCTGTTCGAAATGCTGGAGGATGACGGTTGCCACCTGTGGCGCTTGCCGGTGCAAGACTGGTAGGGCGTCAGCCCAGGATGCCCAATATGCTGGAGATGCCAAAAGGGCGGCACTCATGAGGCCTAAGCCTCCCATAGCGAGGGGCAGGTGTGCCCGCGCTAAAGCGTGGACTGGTAACTCGTTAGCTTGGAGGAGCTGGGAAAGGCATTGGCTGATTGCGAGGTCATGGCTTGCCGCAAACGCGATTGTTGGTGCTGGTGGGAGCAGTCGAAGCAGATAGTTGCTGCGGGGGCTGGCTGTGTAGAGTAACAACAACCATGCGGCTTGAAGGTCTTGTATGTCAGGCAACTGTTCCAGTAAGGGCCGGTGGCTGCGCAATGTGTTTTGCAGGAATTGCTGGACATACTGTTCTGTGCCAACTGGTGCCCCCAGTACTGTAAGGCCCTGTTGCTCGGGTGGGAGAGCCCGGTCGCCGACCCAAGTGTCAGGGCCCAACGTGTCAGTGTTTGCTGGTCGGTGGCCGCTGCTGTTCCGGATTCTTGTTTTGCCTGGGTTGAGGCGGATGTTGGCATGTGCTGCGAGGTGGTTGGCTAGCAGGTCGTACACAGGGCGGACCCTGTCGGGCTGCACGGCGACATTCCGTGTGTTCCAAAGCGAGGGCCTTTCCATTCTTGAATGTTTATCATGGGTCATAAGCGTCATCGCATCTATTTTGCACCAATGGGGTCATTCATAAGCTGGACCAGTCCAAAGTTGACCACGTCGGGGTTCACCCTTCTGGGGGTAACATAAATTTGGAAACGAAAACGCATATCTGATGGCAAAAATCGGATTTGTGTATCGCAAAGCAGCATACACACGTATCATGTTAGAGCAACAGCTGGCATTTCTTCGGCCCACAAAACAAACATCAGCCATTCTGAAAATTCTGCAAACTGATTTGTTGCTTGGCAGTGGGGCCTTCCTTTTCCGTGAGCCGTCATCAACATTTCAGAATGGCAACTGGCTGGCAGCGGCCCATGCAATCATGAACCATGTACGTGCATCGGTTCCCGCCTCATCCAGCGCGATGCCACATCTGCACGGCCAGACCCCCACAGCGACAGCAAAAATTAAACCTCAGCACAAATGTCACACAACAAGCCATCCTGCACGCCGTCGTGATTTTGAAGATTGGAACATCCAATTCTGGGGGTATATGTTTTTGAGGCACAAGCGCAGAAGCCCCTAGAATAGATCGAACAATCGGAGACCTGGAAACTATGGAAATGATTGGGTAGAATCCTTTAAGACAGCCTCAAAACAAATGTAAGTTATTTTTTTCCATCCATCTAGATCCATGTGGCACATGTGGGATTCTTGCAAAGTTTGGGTATGGGGCGAAATCATTGACTCTGGTTTGTCACCACTTGGGAGATGTTTATGCTCATAATTGGCTCATAATTGTGTTTCCTACATTGTCAACACGCCATGATCATGAATCAATGAGGATATTCACCAAGAGATATCGGGAAAGCCTCTGGACCCCTGGACCCCTGGACCCCGGTTCCTCCGGTGCCAACCATTTTTGATGGAACTACTTTAAGAAACCTCCATAATACTCATGACCAGCATTTATTTCTAGTTCCTTGGGGTTCAAGGTGGGTATGGGTCAAGTTCTACGGCCATATACGGCCCCAAACCTGCATTGCTTTGTTTTCAATTGCAGTCCCCAACTACCTATCATTCCGACCTTCGTCTCCCGGTTGTCTGTGCTGGACAAAAAAAAATCACGCTAAATCAAGCCTTCACACAACAAATCACCAAGCCACGAGGAACCCCTGACCGCAGCGCCCACGCACCGTCCATGAATCATTGATTTACACCGGTGTTGTTTGAAATTCAACAGTCAGATGTCATAACAAAGAAACCGATTTACTGACAAAAAACGATGGCCTCAATCCAAAAACATTGCCTCTGCAATTCATTTTCGCATTTGGTTCACAATTTGGTTTGGCACCCTCAAGGTGATTTGAGATACCGGTTCCATGGCTGCAGATACAGTGGCCAGCTTTGATACGACCAATGTGGGTTTTTTTGGTGAGCGATTCAAGCAAGTAGGTTTTCTTGTTAGTGACCTACGACTCCGATTTTATCTAGTAAATTACAAATTTCTCACAGATTTCTCACAGATGTCTCACAAATTTCTCACACATTTTTTCCCAGTCATGGCTGAAGGAAGGAAATATGTGATTTAGCTAGTGTATTTGAATTTTTGGTGGATGAGTCAAGCAAGCGGGTTTTCTTGTTAGTGACCTTACTTAGTAAATTATAAATTTCTCCAAATTTCTGCCAATTTTCTCGCAATTTTTTCCTACCCGTGCCTGAAGGAAATGTGTGATTTAGCTGACGTTTTGAATTTTTGGAAGGTGACTCAAGCAACTAAGCTTTCTTGTTAGTGACCTAAAACTCCGTTTTTACCTGCTAAATCAGCAATTTCTCACAGAATTCTTACATTTTTTTCGCATATTTTTTCCTACCCATTGCTGAAGGAAATCTGTGATTTAGTTCCTGTTTTTGAATTTTTGGTGGGTGACTCAACCAACCAAGATTTTTTGTGAGTGCCCTAAAATTGAATTACAAATTTCGCACAAATTTCTCGCAGATTCCTTCCTAGCTGAAGGAAATCTGTGAAAAATCTGTGATTTAGTTGGTGTTTTTGAATCTTTGGTGGACGATTCAAGCAACTCGATTTTTTCGTTACTGACCTAAAACTACAATATTACTTGGTAAATGATAAATTTCTCACACATTTTCATTTCCAAGAGATTTCTCACAAAGTTCGTCCTACCCATGCCTGAAGGAAATCTGTGGGAAATCTGTGTTGTAGCTGGTGGTTTGAAATTTTTGAGGCACCAGCGAAACAACCACGTTGTTTGAATGATCCATCAGAATTGAAAAACACTGGCTAAATCACAGGTTTCCCCCAGATTTCCTTGCACCAAACAAAGGAAGCCGTCCGTGAGAAATCTGCAATTTACTAATTAAAATTACAATTTTCTGCCACCAGCCACAAAATCCGGCTGCTTCGATGATACACCCAACTTGAAAATCATTGTGAAAGTTTTCGTGATGTAGGGTGCCGGGGGCTCACGCGCGGAAGCCAAGATAAGCGTTTAAAAAAAATTGAGCGGATCTGTGAGCGGAACTGTGAGGTATGAGGGGGTTTGTAAGGGGATCTGTGAGCGGAACTGTGACGTGTGAGGGTCTGGGCGAGGGTCTGTGAGCGGAACTGTTGGGTGTGAGGGGGTCTGCGAAGGGATCTGTCAGCGGCAATCTGAATTGTGAAGGTGTTTTTTGTGATAAGTGTGAACGAGATGTGGGGCGCAAAGGAAATGTGGGGAGAAATGAAGTGACGAAGTACGGGGTTTCAAGGCAGTGAAAGAATGCGAAGGGAAGCGCGAGTAGACCTGTGAGTGGAAGCGAGGGAGGAGTTAAGGAATGTGGTAAGTAAATGACTCATTGTTCTAATCATCATTTGACTGTCAAGGGGCCCCTAACTGCTTGCCATGCGCAATGAAGAATAGCACGCATACAAGGATTTGCCTGGCCAACTATGTCATGCTATGTCTATGTTTCCTCTGCGTTGCCACCCAAAAACGTTGACATTTGCTACCTGCTACTAATTCCGCTTCACATGACCTAATCGGGTTTTTTGCGTTTCAAACACGGTCCCGTGTCACCCGGCTCACCTGCCGTTTTCGGAAAAAAATGTTCAGGTCTACAGTTTGCATTCGGTTTTAATTTTATGTTGGCGGCTTGAGGGTTGATGAAGAGGAACAATATGCATTGTATGTGTATATATGTATATTGGAGTATGCCCGGGGGTAAAAAACACTCCCTAGAAACAAGACGAACATCGTGGTTTCGGCCCTGGCCGAGCAGCCGGCCGAACCCCCGGCAAACTAGGCGGCAACATGCCGGTCAAGTTAACAAAAACGTGAGGCAAAAAAGGGCAACAAACCGAGTAGAAATGTTGCCTGTTGCCTCGAAAAGCAGAACCTAGCACCAGCATAAATTATGGATCATTATTTGCTTCCAAGTTGGGACGCGCCTGGCATTACTTCAATAGACACCAGGTGCATACCGCGTTTTTATTATCGCTTTTCGTGCCTGCCAGGCTGACGGTTGATGGTCTCCAGCGTCCAGCACCGCGCATTGGACTGGACAAGTTGGTTGCGTGGACCTTGATTTCACAGCAAAGCTGCTCAAGCAGCCACCGCCCCTCAGGCAAGCAGTGCTGAGCTGACAATTCAGTTGAAAACTGTTTTGGAGAATAAAAAATTGTGACTAGTTGTGACGGGTCTTGCGCTGGAGACGGCGGGGGCTTTGCAGAAACCTGGGAAAACTTCACGCAAACCTGCCGGTTTCGCGCTAACCTTGCAGAAGCCCGAGGCTGGCGGAAACCCACCCCGAACCTACCAAAACCCGGCGAAACCTGGTGGAACCCGGCGGAACCCGGCGGACCTGACGGCGACGGAAACCAGGCAAAACCCGGCGGGAAACAAAGTCTGGACCATACCAAAAGTTATACTCCCAACCACCCCCCTTCAACTTACTTTTTTTCCGCCGGGTTCCGCCAGGTTTCCGCCAGGTTCCGCCGGGTTCCTCTTCCGGGTTCCGCCGGGTTCCTCTGCCAGGTTCCGCCGGGTTCCGCTGGGTTTGGGTTCCGGCGCTCCGCCGGGTTCCGCTACGTTCCGCTGGGTTCCAGGTTTTCGCAAGGTCAGTTCGGTTGTGCCAAGTTTTTCCGGGTTTCCGCCAACAAGGCTCTTGCTCCCGACCCGCCCTGCCATTTATTGCCAGGATTGTGCCAGGTTCTTGAAATTCTTGCCAGGCGTCTGCCAAGGTTGCGGCAATCAAAGAAGCGTTTTTTGGCAATTGCCCGGCCATTGCCCAAGTCGGTTTTTTGAAAAAATCACCAAGAACATGGCTTCCCTCGTGGAATAGATTTTTTGTGTTGGTACCCATGCAGAGGGGGATGCAATATCGCTGTTCATTGTTCAATTTTTCCACATTAACACGTGCCAACGTGCACCACCTTTCATGGACTTTTGCATTGAACACATTTGCCATTGAAACTGTCCATATGTTTGGTTTGGCCAGAGCTACTTCGCGCGCTTTGCCGGGCCTCTTGCCAGCACATTTGCCAGCAATTTTGCTCGACTTGTCCATCACTGCTTCGGATGCTCTGCCATACGACTTGCCGGCACAAATGCCGGCACTTTGCCTGTAATTTTGGACAACCACGGCCCAATCATCAGCCTTTCGCAACATCCTCTCTTCACACAGCCACTTGCACTACTAGACCTTTCTCACGCATCCAGTTACATTGCCTGGCCGTTCTCATTCCCATACATCCACCTACATTGCCTGCATTTTTTCTCACATCCACTTACCCAGCCCAACCAGTCTCACACATTCACTTAAAATGTCTAAACTAAAGCCCCAAAAAAAATACAGTTTTCTTACATGTTCTTCCTACAGATTCTTCACACCCTTCCCCGCAGAAATAATGATTTTCAGTGTCCTCAGTGGTTAGAAGGGTTGGTAGTCATAAGGTTTGTCATTCATGCGTTTCATTGTGTCTTTCCAGAATCATCCTCGTTCACAACAACCCACCCCACAACTAACCGAAGCATCCTGCGCTGCACAACGCTCAGTTTTTGGACGTGTACTTTCGTTAAGGGCAACGATGACAATCCGACAAAAAAATACTGGCAGAAATCATCGCGTTAAAATATTTTAACCGTGACTTCAAAAAAAACATGTTTGGTAAGGTTTCCCTGTGGTTATGAAATTTAGTTCAAACCATCCATTAACTCAAACCACCCATAAACAATGGGCAGATTCACCATCAGCTCGTAACATACAGAGCGTTTTGGAGATGGTTTGACATGGTTGTTACACCTTAGCATCCAGCACGTCCTGAAAGTTGATTGCAACGGATGTTTCACCATAACTTTCAGCGCATCCTGGAGCTAACTTGGAATGGATGTTACAGAGTAGCATCCAAAGTGTCCTGGAGGTTACCTGAAATGGGGGGCATCATGGGGGTCACTTTGAAAACAAATACACGTAGCATCCAGAACATCGGTTTCGCCTTTGCTTTCACCCATTCGAATCTGCAAAGACTCAGGCGAAAACGCTGCAGTCTATTTTCACTCGTGCCAAAAGGGTCTCACAAGTTTCAACTGCACATGCTGTTCATGTCAGTCTATAAGTGAAATGACAAATGCAACTCTCTTATCGATTTGTGCGTGTCATCCTGGCACATGTGAGTGGGCTCCACAACTTTCCACACTCCTCCTTTGTGGTTTGAGCGTGGCTCATTCCACAACTCCAAAATTTTCACCTCTCAACGCAAATTTCAGCTCTGCTGTCTGACTCTGCATCATCCAGTGAAAATGTTTTCGAATTCAATCTTTCAAATCATCAAGCTCTGCATGTCTTCGACATAGAGCCTAAACCTGTCTCGGCGTTCATCATCTCCTCTGTTACGGTGAAAACGATATAGCCTCTGGAATATGTTTCTGATCTCATTTGAAATTTTTGTACTGAATCCCTCTGTTAGAGTGGAATCTAGCACCAGACAAATTGCCTGCTGAATCATGCTGGCCTCATGCCAGCGTTCTGCTGCAAGAGCTTGGTTCTGATCTGCCCTCATGTTCTGTAAGAGGGCTTCCATTCCAGTAGGTCTATTGGATTGGTTGTCCTCCACATCTGTTGTGGGACTTTCTTCTTCTCCTCCTTCGTGATCTTCTTGCTGATGTACAATTGGGTCAGTTGAATCTGCACGGTTTCTATGATTCCAAAGCG